CTGGGGCATTTGCAACGTTTTTTCGCCAAAATGACAAAAGCCCGACAAACGCCCGGGGGGGGGGTGTTGGGCACCCATGGAATTGATTGAGACATTAGTATATGTGAGTGGTTCAAGTATCACGAATTAACGAAAGTTACGAAACGTTATGTACAGTATACGGAGCATGACTAGTTTTACTATTTCATAACCATATGAAAAAAATTCATTCTCCGTTGATTACAGAGAATGATTTTTTTAACATATGTACTAGTTGACATTATGTTGGTTATGAAATAGTAAAAAAGTCATGTTCCGTATACTGTAGGCATAACGTTTTGTTTTTACTTGAACCACTCACATACAATTTGACGTCCCCGTGCATGGGAAGCTAGAGCAATTAATCAGCACTACTGATATAAGAAGATTTCAGTTACCATAAATATCGTGTCGATGTCATCTTTACGAAATAAATCTCCTGAGCTGGCCTTAATTTCTTTTTAATTGGCCAATTTGAAAGTGTTAATATGGATTAATTCAGATAATTTGGCATACCAGCAGTATACTTTCTGATTAGAGCTTTCGGATCAGAATTAATTACGCGGTTAAACCAAGTTTTGGTAGTAAAAGCATATTTAAACACGGCAGTTGATCAGGTCTTGAACGTGACAGAATATACAGTTGGTAATCTCAGAATTGCAACATTTCCAATTCCACCTATAATTGCAAACCGCGCGAGTGAGGCGTTTACACCCGCAAACTACACTCGGAAGTTCCTATACGAAACTGAACAAATCTTATAATCTTTTTCCCCTCATTTAATAAACGTTTCTTCCGCATTGTGTTGTCTAATGAAGCTTAATCCAATTTTGCTCTTGAGTTTAGCTTTAATTGACTCAATTGTCGAGGTTAAAACGTAATAGGGACATAATCAAGATTGGATCGAGGATTCAGAAAACCACAAAAACACTCACATTATAGCTGGGGTAGGCCGTATAATTATAAAATACTCGTGAATTATATACAGTATCATTGAAAATTCAAGAAGAATTCTCCCTAATTAATTAGCACTTGTAGTTGTATTTAAGGGGTTGTTTATAGCGATTCCGCTTTGTTGGGATGAGATCTGTGTGAGGCGGGTGATTTTGATGTGTTGAAATAATTTAAGTGACAGTGCACGATTCAGCAAATCTTGTGATAGATTATAGTATAATTGCAAAGAAAGGTTTTTCAAGCAACAATAATCTTCATGAACTATAAGATATTACAAGATCAATAATATTTTTTAACAAGCGCGTATGAATTTTCGTTTAAGCCTGGTGATTTATTTTCACTACATTAAAATTACCCTGGCCTTCCATCCCGCCTCTGATCAAAACCCCCCAAAATAGAGATCAAAATTTGAAATCCCCAAAAAGTCCTCGCACATAGCTTTTTCCAGATTAACACACCTTACCCCCTAACGTGGTTATTAATTAAAGATATATTTATATCATGTGCTATATATTGACATGTTGTATCAGTTGCGTTAGATTGGGTTCAAGTATATATGGAGTTAATAAGATCAGCAACCCTCCAGGAATCAAGAATTTAGTTCAAGTTGTTTGCATACGGTCCAGTCGTCAGTTTTGAAAGACTGAAAACTGCCATCTGAAATTGATGTTATTCATGTAATTACTAAATTAGTCCGATCTGACATTTCCTACAACAATAGAGTTCCTATATATGACCTTTGCCTATGGCTATGAATAAATGTTTGGAAGAATCTGTTTTCCAGGGATGATAATATATCATGATTCATGGCATTGAGTACATATTTCCCGCCAACGCAATGACTTTAATTGTCAAAAAATCGTTAATCCACAGTAAGTTGTTTTATGAAGCAGAAATAGTATAATAATGCTAAACATTTGAAATATCTTTGCGTCATATCTTAATTAAATCCACTTCAAGTATATAAGCATGTAAAGGACATAATGCTGCGATTAAAATCGATATGTGCGTGAGAAATGTCAAATGAATTTCCTCACAGCTTGGGCAGAATTGAAAAGTAACGTAATTTCCGATAAAAACCCATCCCGATCATGACATTGTTCTTGAATTCTTAATATCTGTAGTAATTTAATACACATTTATTGAAAACCTTTAAAAGGAGAAACTTTTGTATATGCGGTTACGTAACACGCGCTCAAAACTAATGAATATATACTTTTCCACTTTATTATGACTATTTTTTTTCAATTGTTTTAATTTTTTATACGTTTCGATCTCAAGCGACAATCATACTAAAAAAGTACGTTTAGTGCCTTATTCTTAAAATTATGCTAAAATAAAGAGATTTTAGATGGTACGCCAGAGAGGAAATATATGTCTGCATGAAAGTTCAGTAAGTTTTGCTTATATCGCTGTATAAATATGTTATATGGTGTCAACTCACAGCATCAATGTCTGCAGATATTGTCAATGATAATTGTATTAAATTGACGTTATTTAACTATTTTTTGTGTTTCTCAACCGCCAGATACATTAATTTTAAAATGTTGCTAACTGTGTAAACCGCAAAATAAGGCCAAAACAAAGTATTGTTGAGAGGAACGCCAAAAAGATTTTAAGTTTTGATACGCGACAATGAAAAAGATTGCCTCTTAAACACTTACCTGGATTACACATCAGTGTATAAACCATTGAAATGGATAAACACGCGCATACTCATCATCAGTGACGTAGTTCCAATACGTAGAGAGTTTGGCAACCTAGAACGGCAACGGGGAAAATATAATTGCTTATGTTGTTGTATTTGAGCCAAAGTATACGTTACTGCACTTAATTTGCCTCTTTAAGTATTCCTGTTTCTTTCAAACGTACCCTTAAGTAAATTAAGTAAAAATGGTCCGCGAATTCAAATAAAACACCTCAAATAACATCGAACGAATTAACTGTTGCCGTAGTCATGCACCGTGAAAATCTGCAAAACACGTACTAGTTTCAACAACTACGGCATTGCACAACGCTTAAGACCATGTAATTTACATTCGCCCACCATATTGCCGTTGCCCTTGTATTTGCCAAACTCTTTAATGTGGACAGCGCTGCAGGTGCGGAAATAGAAATACTTGCCTTACATACGTGCAAAAACAGCAATTTTTAACATCTCCCTCCCGTTCAGTGTTGAAAGCTTATAAATTGGTTAGGTGAAATGTATGTCAACATTGTAATGTATAGGAGAGAACCGGGAGACAAATACGCCAACATATATATGTGAACGGTAATACTTTAGCACACCTAAATGTCCGAAAAAATCGCAGGAGGGGCTAAAGAAATTTTACCCTACGCTACTTCCAAATAGTTTGTTTATTATTTGTCATATTCAGCTTTTTGGGTGGCTATCATGTTTTGGTGATTTTGAATAATCACGTTTACACTTAACAGCTCTTCTTGATCCAAAAAGTAGTAAAACATAGCAACTCAGATATAAATTTATATTACAAGAAAATGCGGAAAATATAATTTGCCGTATTGATCAAAATTATTACAAGGGGTTTAATTGGGATTGGGTGTGTAAAATTTTGCCATGATCTCAAGGTTTATTCAAAGTTTTTAAGATTAATATTTTCCTTATTAGCTATATAGTGATTATGTGAGTCATTTGCTGCTTTACTTGTTACGTGTGATGTTTCAATATCTGTGACTATGCATAAATTGAAAATGTAAATATATACAGGGAGACGGGCAATTAGAATTGATTTAGGAATCAGAGCATTTAGGCCATTAGGGAAGGTTTTAAAAAACCTTCTGAACAAAATAGTGGAAACATATCTGATTAAAGAAAACAGCAAAAAGCTACATGAAAGACCATGCCCATGCCCTCCAAAATTGAGTCGCAGCCAACTAAATTTGTTTTAGAGAAAGTAGGTTCACCTGGTATTTGTTGGACTATTTGCTGCATGCATAAAACAAAGCTAAGAAGATTTCATGAGATTATCCAAACAACTTACAAATATCTTAAACAATCTCGTTAAGTCCAATATACGCCGTCCGCTAAGAACTCTTTGACTCAATTACCGTATTGATGGTCAATAACTGCGGTTTTTGATATAATTTGTTGCTTAGTAAATTCTTAATCAATGCCAATGGCCAATGCATTTACTATGCTTCCTTACATATATATTAGTTTTAGTATATCTACATATTTTCAAACTATATTAGGTTATTCCGAAGGTATGACAATACTCTTAATAAAGCGCAATATCCGAAAAGAAGCACATGATAAATGTTCACATGAAACTTGATACACTCGAGAATGTAGCAATGTGAATACAATAGCGATATTTTTGGATTATAATAGACAGTAGATTGCTGGGCGGAATTGAATTTCGAGCGGAATGTGATGAATGAGGGCGAATGATCATGCTATATGTCGTTTACGTGCCTCTTAAGTTCTCAACATGAAGTTTTTTCGCTTTCTCATCCCATGACTATGCACTTTTGACGTTTCGTTCTCGCTATGATGGATAATAACTTTATTTTATACTTTTTATTTCCATTTAAAGTATTTAGACGCAAGTTCGAAAGATAAATATGAAAAATAAGCATACAAAGTGTTTTTAATCTTGACTTCCGCCTTCACCTTTAGCGTCTTTAGTATATCGACGTCAAGATGACGTCAATGGGTAACTTGATATTTAAAAATCAATCTGAAAACAACATGGTGTGAATAAATAGCACTATGAGCCTCGTTTTCATATCAGACTAACTAGCGCCAATTGTACACGTGATTGAGTACTTGAAGTGAACTACAACTGCCTCGTTAAAGATGACAACATAGGGATACAACATAGGGACAATGTCGTAGGATATCTTATACAACATCCTATGGGAATCCACAACGTTGTTATGGTAAATTGATTATATACTTATACTTATGTCGATTTTTTCTGTTAACTTATTTATCGCCTCTCACCGCAGTGTTCTCTGTGTCTTGTCTTCAGTGTTGAAATGCGTATGTGTAGCTATAGTTTTGACCTTCTTAACAACTTTATATCAAGGGCCATTTACTCGATTGTCTGTTAAGTCTGGAAACAAACGCTAGTTTCAACAGACATTAACCCATATCTTATTCCAGGTGAATTGATGATTGTACATTTGGTACACAAGACGTATGTTTATAGTTTAGCTATTTTGCAAAGTCGCTCTCGTCTTCTTTTCCCGCTATTTATACTCTATATGTTGTTCCGTTTTCAAACAAACCGAAACTTGTTGCGTGACAAACCATCGATTCCCTAATATATTACGCACGTTTATTTTAAAAGCTGAGTTTATAGTTCACTCATAAAGTATAACTATAAGTAGGTGAAGTCAGCAAGTCGGAAATTTGGTATATGAGTATGCTCTCCGTTCGTCAACACTAGTTTAACCACAAAACTAAGTAACAACAATATAAATTTACGAGAATAACATTAACTAGCGGCTCTGTATTCTGTTAATCAATGCTAAATTTCAGTCCAACAGAGTTCTAATTTATTTACTCACTCCCCATTTCTTTGGCACAATCGCAAAAACAATTTCTATTCACAAACTGCCAAATCGGAAAAGCAACATGTCTGTACCTGTAAGATTGAAATTAAATTGCAACAATCTACACACGAGTGCTTCAAGAGCATTCCAAGCTAATTTTCATTTTGATACTTGCCAGTTTGGTATGGTTTAGAAATTATTTTGTCAGTGTAAGAGTTAAAGCTTTATGAATCGAAATAAGAACATGTCCTAAAAGAGACTGGTAAAAGATAAAGTTACCACGCAACATGTTTACCACAATTGCCGGTGCATGGGTTTGCCAAAATATTTCATATACGGAATTGGTTGTCTCTCAGCATCAGAAAAAGGTTTCATGTTCAGTTTATTGAACCTCAAAATCCTCCTGGGTAAGTTAGAAAGTTAAAGTTTAAGTTCGAAAGCAGTGGGAACCGGAAAACTGTCTGTACAACTGACGACGCTGTTTGGACGAGAGGAAGTTGACTGCATGCATGTTTTCTCTTGAAAAATCTTTCACATTTATTATCAATTGACATGCACTGCTCCCTTTCCTCCGCAGAGGTTTCGTCGTGGTCTTGATGAAGGCGAAAGAAACAAAAACGTACCAAATAAGGCGCTAAAATGAATCCTCTCCAGAATATGGAGTTCAGATCAATGAAAATTTGTTCATTTCGTTGTTTGTCTTAAGCTGGTTTCAAGCTCATTCCACTCGAGTTTAAAGTTCGAATTTTAATTCAGCTGGTGGATAACTAAAAGTGTTGCCGAGATGTTTAAAATACAGTTTTCAAGAAAGCAATCGCTCATTTATGAACGTTTGAAACTTGGTTTTAATTACGATTTGAAGAAGACTGCAATTGAGACCGAAGCAGTTGAGGGACGACTGAGTTCCTAAATCGAATCTAGGTATATAATGTATCTTAGACTTAGCCTTCGACTTAAAAATCTTGAAATAACTCCTCTGTTTGCATGAAAACAATAAAGTAACGGTATTCTCTGCTTGGTTGCAGCATGCTTTAAAACTACCTAGTCCTAGGACAACAAAATGGTTTTTCATCCGGAATTATTAGAGAAGATTGAAACATACTGCGGCCTGTAAACGTGCATGCATGATTGTCTTCAAATTGAGTCTCATGGATTGGGAACATATATATGTATACCACTCAAACAATATACGTATTCAATGAAAGTTTTCATTTTACTACAGGTTTGCACGGCGATTCCCAGTACTAAAGTTAGTCAACTTATCTTGACATCGACAAAGTAATGTGTCTTACTCTCGGTCGCATGTATTTTGACTGATGGATTTGAAACTCTTGATCTCAGTAAAATTTTCTCACGATTGTCGGAGGATGGCCGGCTCTGTCTCTCATTTGACTGACATTAAGTTTTTTCCCAATAATCAATATATCGGATTCACAATTCGCTATATATATAGAATGTGAAACTCTTGTATTAAATTCACAACTAGAATCTAGATTGCGTCGGTTATTAAAATTTATAACATTTTTTTGAAGCCAAATTTACAGGATATCAGGGTATCAGTTTGAGTGATTTATAAACAAATCCTGGATAAAATGTCCGATACCATACATATTAACCAAATTATTTCACAATTATATGAAATTTATATTATATCCAAACGGATATGTGTTGAATTTTTATGCTTGTAAAGTGGTCCTCTAGATCTAATGACTAATCTCTATAACTGCAGGGCTTACAAGAAGCCTTTGTTTTAGAATACGAGATGATTTTCACTACTTTTCAGAAATCGGCTGACACAGTTTTGAATCGGCTAGTAATATTTGGCAGTTTTCCTTTTTTGTCCTCTGTGCAACATTCTACAAATTCTATAGCAAAAAATGTTGGGATATTGTTGCACAAACAAAACTCTTCATTCAGAAATTGACTTTTTTGGTATTGACTTCTGAAATTAAACTTGTATGATGGAAAATTTTAAATATCATCAATATTAAGCAAATATTGATAATCTTATAAAATAGAAAAAAGATATCATGTTGACTTGTTTTTCTGTTTCAAACAAAGCCGGCATTTTTGGCTTCTCCACCCACATTTTAACAAACTTTGATTTCCGGTATGATCAGGGAGGTGTTCTATCACACCCTCAAATCAAGCGGAACTATTTACCACAAATATGTGGACTAGCTTTCATTTATTGCACGATAAAATACTCCATGTTTGACATCGGATACTCACGGTGCCTTTTTGGTATGTGGTTGTCTTTTTTCTGTCTCGTTTAAAAGACCTAGTTGTGTGTCCGGAACTGCATGACGGAAGAAAGCTAACTTAAAGTTATTAAAGCTAGCAAAGTTTGTTATTGTGGTAAAGCAGTGACGATTAAGCTTTAATCTGCTTGTAAACACCGAGGTCTGAGGACTGTCAATAACAGCAAGAAAAGTGCACGTAAAACCAGCAACATAATGCCACTGCATTTGTTTCAGTAACAGAAGTGGTGGTGATCTTCTGAAGAAAGCTACGGCTTAATTTAACTAACACAATCTATACAAAGCAATGGACACTCCTGCCACAAACGGTTAACATTATTATTCAACGCTTCGACTATCTTGCCTAGTTAAAAATGTTAACCGTTTTCGAATGCCCAGTGTTTTGTATTTAAAATTACTCCGAGTGACAACCGAATGTTTGGTTTAACAAAATCTGTTGTTGTGTGGCAAAGCAATGCGAATGACTATAGTCTATATATTAAGCTTTAATCTGCCTGTAAACAATAACAAGAAAGGATAAGAGCAATAAAACCCCAGGCCCAGTGATATTATGTCAATGATACCTGCTTTATTATTATTTTCCAAACTTGTGTTTTTCTTCTCTTTGTTGCTCAAATCGAGGCCGATGTGTCTGTGATCTTGTCATGTGATATTATATGAAAGAAACACCGCGAAATTATCATAACACTTTTTTGTTTCGCCGTTCGCATGTTTGCCACGCTTGAATTCTGCCGACCAAAGACTAGTTATAATGACTTGATGATATGGCGCTAAACAAGCGGCTTGTTCGTTTTGTCAGCTATATTATATAATTGTCACGATATGTCCTGGTTACTTTAGTTATTAGCCGCAAATTACCACTCTTTGGAGTATAAATTTGATGAATATAACTTGAGCCGTGGTCCTAAGTAAAATGTCTGATATTACTATTGACATGAAATATAGTACGTTTAGCTTTTTATTCAGCAATAAACTTAAAAAGCGTGAAAATTTAATGGCACTTGCGCAAAGCTGTAGTTGAAAATTTAGTCTTCTCAATTTACACTGGAAGTGCACTATAGCTAACCGCAAGAACGGAACAAACGAAGCCACATCACAAGGTCGCTCAAAATTTGATATCTTTCGGTATTAAAATAAAATTCTGAAATTGCGGTGTGTATAGTAAAGCTATCTATAATATCTCCGCACATATTTTGAAGGTTTCGGGTTCGCGGTCAAATGCACTCGGCAAGAAATCTGACAACACAATGGCCTCGCACTTGACACAATTTGATACGTCAGTATCCGGGCGCTGTGATTGGTAGATTGCTAATGATTATTAGTAGAATTGTGTTATTACGTTATGAGTAAAGTGTAAACAGTCCGCAATGAGCAAGGTACGTGGGCCCCACGACGTAACACAGTGAATATATCTCAATGAACGTCATTATAGACAAACCATGGTAAAGCACAGTAGTGTATCTCTGGATTACAATCCAACATCGTCCGCCAATCTTAAATTATATTCTTCTTCTCTTCTCCTACAGGATGAACTTCAGTTATTTATCGAGGCTTTACTGCCACACGTTAAGTCATTCGCATACACCTGGTTTAACCTGCAGGCACGGAAACGCAAATACTACAAGCGCCATGAACTTCGTATGAGTTGTGAAGAAGAGAGAAAGTGTAAAGATGAATTAGAAGCGGAACCTGCTGAAGTTAAAGAGAAATGGGCTTCACGTTTACTCGCTAAACTTCGCAAAGACATTCGACCTGAATGTAGGGAAGACTTTGTTTACGCCGTGACAGGACGAGATTGCTCACGTTGCGTCATTTCAAATCCTGATCAGAAAGGCAAAATGCGACGTATAGACTGCTTACGCCAAGCTGATAAAGTCTGGCGTCTTGATTTAGTTATGGTTATATTATTTCGTGGTATTCCCTTAGAAAGTACGGATGGGGAAAGACTTGGTAAAACTAAAGTTTGTCAAAATCGTGCACTTTGTGTCGTACCAAATCATATCTCGGTCACGATAAGAGAATTGGATTTATTTCTTGCAAACTTTATATACCTTCAAGGTTTGTTATATCATGATGTGTTTATTAGTATAGCGATATAAAGTTAATCACGTATATTGTGAACCACACTGCGTCTAAAACTTTCAACAATTTATCTAAACTGCCGTGTCATGTTAAAACTTTGTATTAATTTACATACCAAGAGATCATAATAACATTCCCCGTAACATTAATAATTTAATTAATACGTGTCTTCCTATAATAAACTCTCTCTGTGTGTGTTATATAGAGAACAAGAAAGATTGTGAGAGTCCGGCAAGAACGGGATCAGCCTGCCTTAGCGACCAAGTTGAATTCTCAAGTAAGTTTAGTGATGAAGTTGTTTGTTGTTTATACGAATTATATCTTGACATTGAGTCAGTTCGTCTTGAATATCAAGCGTATAGGTCGTCAACATTTCGATTAAGGGAAAAAAGGTTTACGCGATCAGTATGCCATAAAGCGCAGAATGTTAGCGCGTATTTTATAAACAACAGACAATTCCCGCCACAGAGTAACTCAAAACGTTCATTGCGTGTGCACGTGTTTGCAAGCTATCATGTCGCACTATCGTTTGATCTTGTCTTCCCGAAATGACAGCTTTAATAAGTTTTCGTACCGCGATTTTGCCATTTTCCACATGGCCTTGCTATATTGATTGTTGCGCTCATTCGTCTAATATTTGTTAAATACGTGTTCTTTGTGATAAAAATAATCATTCTTCCCCTGCTGTTTATATCAGGTCATATCAATGATTGCCTCCCTTCCTTTCCACGGTGTCTGAATTGTTTCACAGGAAACGCTAAGACAAAACCCACCAACGAAACACACCTTATAATTTAACAAGCCCAATCCTATAACACACATAGACAATGACATTGTTTTGCTTTTAGCATTTTCTATTAAACGGAGTATTTATGATTTTGTGCTGTTTGAATATGATCATAATATGATTTAATGCAACATCCTGTTATTGACATTCTCATGTGGTTCTACTTAAAGACTTAAACATGTCAAACGAAAGTGAACTAAATCACGGTTATTTTAATACATAGGGAACAAATTGTATTTAAGTTAGTTGTTTCTATTATTATTATAATTTTGTGATTGTATTTAAACTACATAACAGTTTGAAGAGCGTATGTAAAGGGCGGGCGAAGTTGTTTTATTATCGCAGTGTGACGCCCCAAGACCCTTGTATATTCGCAGATAGCAAAATAAACGACTTTGCGAAGACTCTGCTTCGACTTTGCCAAACCATCAGCGTAAGAATTTCTGTACGAAATTTAATATCATTTTCGAGTGTCATCATACGTGTGTCGTAATGATTTAAAAGTTAATGGTTAGGATTATTAGCATTGCGTGTGCAAACACTGAATAATTTAAAGTGACAACATCAACAAATACTGAACAAAGCATGAATATAAATCGTGTCATTCTCTGCACGCGAGGAAAAGTCGTGATGTAATGACCTTGAATGCCTCAAGATGTTTAGCGTTAACGGTTGTAAAATTACGACGTCGGTAGTCGACTGTTTTGTAAAAAAAACGAATTCAAAGTAGTGAAACGCGCGCGAAAAGTGATTACCTTGCATGACTTGCATGCTTGTGGTTGAATAATCATGAAACGGAATAAACTATTCCTGCATTGAACTTCCTCGTTCTTTAGTAAATCCCGTTTTACCTAATCCAAGGAGAACTTTAATTCCTGAATTTGACAAAACGGATTAGTTGAAGAACGAGGCAGCGCTATACAGATGTCTCATGCACTTCAATTGATCGAAATGCTATTGTTGTTGCTCGATTAAACAATATTTAATGGGCTTTCTTTATGCTAGATTTATTTAAAACGGTCTTTATTCTCAGATTCATTATCACTTCAAAGCTTGAAGCTCTGTGCCGATACCGCTTTGCTTTCAATAGACTAATATTAACACACTAACACTTCACGTATGTGGATGTCAGTTGCGTGTTAAAATTTTGTGTTCCGTCTTGGTATTAGCAAACTGCGTATATACAATATTGAATCAACACACTTCCTTTATGGTTCTAGTTCCTGTTTCGAACTCGGCACTCAAAGACGGTTTGTTTCTTTAAGTAGCGTAACTCCGGCTGTATGCTTTGCATAAGCTTAAACGTTGTAAAATATGTTCTCAAATCAACGATAACAGGAACTGTCAAGTGCCTCATTGCCTAGCGATAAGTATAATTGTATTTTTAAAATGCAAGTTGAGGTATGTGTAGATACAAGTGCTGACGCAAGATGAGCTTATTTGGTCATTTTCTAGTGCTCACACACCCTCGGGTGTGTGGTATGGTATGAAAACATCACAAATACAATAGACAATAGATTGAATCATTTGTTGTAGTCTAAGTCTTTCAAATTAAAACGGAACTGACTTTCAATTTTTGCTATTTCATCAAATTTGGTTGTAATTGCTTATATCCATAAAATTGCCACAGCTATTAAGGGATTTGAAATATACCCTGGATGCCAGTGTGTATATAGCAGAACTACACAGAACAGCTGCTCAATTCAAATATTTACCAGACGATTTATAGTGGCGAAATCTCGTGATTTAACACAGCTATTATGACGTCACATCTATTGTTCTCTTTAACAACTCATTTAAAGGTCAAACTGATCGCATTTCCCCGAGTGATGATAGCAGCAATGTATTGTTTGAAAAATAATAGGAACACAATAAAAATGTCAAGAAAAATACGTTTTTGTGAGCTTGTTTTGCTTTAATCTTGGCAATTATTTCATTTTAACTAAGAAAAAAGTTTAAAAGGATAGTAAATAGTGTAATAATTCTAAGGCTATTATCAATCTAACTTCTTGCATTTTATTGGAATTTTACTAGTGTTACATAGTGTTTATTTCATATTTTTCAATATATCTAATGGTTTAATTACGTTTCATTGTTTAAATCATATTGTCACGTCATTATATAGGATTCGAATGCTGACTTGAAAAACAGAAAATTCAGTACACTCAATCATTTCATCTTACTGTATTATTGTTTTTAAGTGCAAATGCCTTAACTATAAACACCCAAATTTGAAATTAAAAAAATTGAGGTTGTACAACATGGTGCAACAATTGGAAAATCCAACAACGTAAACTTCATTACAATGGTCAATATTGTTTTTTTAGTTATGGTTTTTCTATTCTTGAGGTTTTAGTCAAAGTTGCGGTAAAATCATTTAAAAAGTAAGACTTGATTATGTTTTGTAAACTACCTGTTCGTAATCTGATATGGTTTGCATAAGCAAGCCATAAGATTAAACTTTCAAGATTTATGAAATGAGATTACTTTAACTTTTGTATATTTTGCTTCATTGTTTGAACAGAGTTGGTCGGTCTTAGTTTTGAGGCTGTACGAATGCTTAATCCAGCAGATCAATCATCAATACTGACGGCTAACCACACGATAGTTGTTTATCAGTTCCATCCTGATTGTTTTAAAAAGAATAAGTGCACTTCAAGATTACCTATTTTTAGCCTATTTATTCTACTCCCCAACTAATTTTGGAACATAATGATATAAATAAGATACATAACCAACCAATAATGACGCAAAACATGTATGACAGAATGTATGCAAATAATACTTGCAGTTGGATATTGGGGATTGCAATGAAGCTTAGTATATTTATACATTAAGTCAGTTTGGTTTGAGGTATATATGAGCTTTTCAGAATTAGGAAGCGACTAAATATGTGTTAAATATACTGACATGGTCAATATCAAGACTGTGCGAGAATTAATTTTTAGGTTTCCTAAGATAGAGCGATTTCAGATTAACTGTTTCTTATCGTGATGATCAAATCCTTTCTAAAAAGGAATACGTTTTCCAATGTTAAATCTTAAGGCAACTTCAACTATATTTAATTTAGAAGATGAAGCCTAGTGAGTAGTGGCAGCCATGAACGTAGCATGATCTACTTTGTCGTTGGGGGGGGGGGGGAGTGAAAATACCTGATTTTTAAAATTACGTTTAGTACGTTAACTAAAAGCGGTGTTTGAAATTTAGTGTGTTTTTTTCATGAGTATACATTCAAGTAGCAGGTGTTTCTTTCGAATGAATATACTAGCATAACGAATACGGGGTTAAATCTACTGGAGGGATCGGGATAAAAATTTGTTCACTTGACTTCCACATTTGCGGCCTCTCAATTTACCTGAAAATCAGCTCACGTCACCTCTAAATTTACCTGACATTCACTAATGAACAGATATTGAGGTGGCAAGCCCCGCCGGTCGCTACGACCCTGGTGGCATTAACTAAACCTCTCATTAAACTGAGTCCTTTATGATGTCTCCCTTCCTTGCCATCTTAATCGCTTTGGTAGTTTCTCTAACAACAGTTGTTTGAGCGAAAAGAAATCAACAATTTATAGTTGGAAAACTGAATGGATTCACTGGACTGAACAATGCAAATGCTAACTGAAACCATCTCTAATTAAACTGAGTCCATTAATGATGTCCTTTATGATGTCTCCCTTCCTTGCCATCTTAATCGCTTTGGTAGTTTCTCTAACAACAGTTGTTTGAGCGAAAAGAAATCAACAATTTATAGTTGGAAAACTGAATGGATTCACTGGACTGAACAATGCAAATGCTGTTTGGCATCAAAACTGATCAAGATATGAAATCAGGGGAGAAATTGGAAGCAATCTTTATATTCTTTGCAATTGGAAATTTACTGAAACGTATTTTGAGAATAAATACTATAAATACTATAACAACCATAATCGACTCAATCTTTCATGAAACAAGAAACTACTCTATGTTATAATTAATAGTTTGCAAAACAGAGATATTGTTCTCAAAACTAAGAATGTCAATGACTTTCAACAAAAGGTCATGTCCCGTCAATCATATGGTCTGTCAATTAAAGTAACGTTTTTCGTGTTGTTTAAATATGTTGATGATTCGATCAGGGCCAAGGTAAACCAAGTTGGTCCGAAGTACCTCATGCCGATAGATAAAGTTGATCTTCTATCCTGCTGCTGTTGTTCCGGGCTATTGTCCCGGTCTTGTCTGTACCATTTCCTGATCCAACCTGCCGCGACCACAACTCAGTGGCCGCCATCTTGAATTATACTTTGCTCCCCACTGTGTCTTCATGTGGTGCACATCATGGGGGTATTTGCTTCACACAAACTTGGGCATCGCATGTCGATATGTTACATAACTTAATACTTGGCCTGGGCAGCAGGTGTCTGTAAATATTTGGGTATCACGGACAATACAATCGATCATACAATACAAATGATAATACAATACAAATGGTTAATAAATAATAATACAAATTACTATCTATGTTCGTAGGCTAAATAACACTTATAATTGTTGACAAATGTACCCACGAAATGACGAAAATATTGCAGTATTTATATAAACTCTGGAATATAACTATTATATTACAAGATTTTGTTTCACGAATTGAATCATTTGAATATAAATTCATGAAAGGTTGCCTGAAATAGCGTATAAACCATTTACATGCTGAATAGCAAATGTGGTATTCTGAAAGATCTGGTAATTCTTGTATTGTCAGTGTTGATATTAGGAAAAACTACTGTGAAAAAAATTCTGGACGTGCAACCTTTGTCATTCACCATGATTATCCAACATTACAACATATAAGTATACTGTTCCCTAGCTTAACTACATGTATGCTCATATAAATTCTTTATAAATCCTTTGCGAGGTTCTTTGTCCCTTTGAGACCTACCGTATTCCAAATGTTTTCTTACCGACTTCAATCAAACTTTACTTTGAAAGGAGTTGGTTTACTGACGTCAAAGGAAATGGCCCTAATTAACCTCCCACAATGATGTATGATAACATTAATAATATTCAATATATTTTACATGTTCAACAATGCAATTGAAAATCGGAATTACGGTATCTGGTCAGATTTTGTGCGGTTTCAATACAACACTCGTATTAACATAAAAGATATAGTGGAATTTAAAATGCCGTTCTCCCCACAAAATTATAACTTTATGATACATGCCATACTTGATATGTTCGATTTCCGACTTTTACCGTCAAAGTAACGAGCTATTGTCTACAAAAGGCACTAATTAAAACTTCACGATTCTGCAGTGTTTTTGAGTGACAATTCAGTATAGGATTCATCCTTAAAATTAGAATCTTTTAAAATGCACGGAGCCTTTTAAACTCACTTTGAGATCTCATGTTTAAAAACACGAATGTGAAGGATGTGAATTACGTGAAGTCAGATTTTAGCCATTATTCTCATTTTTTTATTTTTGATGTTTATATATATATATATATATATATATATATATATATATATATATATATATATATATATATATATATATATATATATATATATATACCGTTAATGTAAATGAGCGCGAACAAAAAGAAAACATGTTAGATAAACGACAACATTGCCATTGAGGCCTTGTTTTCGTTCATTGAAAATTGTACCGTGCATATTACACGCCAAGAATTAAGTAATTTTTCTTTGTATTTTCAACAACGCTTTGTTCTATCAACCGAACAGATATAATTGTCTTACTATATTTATATAAAATATAATACAAATGTTTCAGTGACAGTTTGCATAAAATATTGTAGCACAATTTTCATTAACTTGCAATAGCGATGAGGCAGGGGGATTATTAGAATTTATTTCGCTGATTTATATATAGCCTATACTATTTATTATACATGCATGGCGAAAGACGTGCCTGAGAAAGACGTGTCTGAAATTTCTACAAGGTTCGCTGAAGTTCTGTGACGGCTGCCTTAATTCCTTAATCCAAAACCACTTCAGTAATATACGTATTATTACGTATGTTAATCACGTGGTTAAACGTTGGTTGAACACACTTGACCTTGAAATATATTTAGGCTTTCTGGAAGTTCAGATGGAGGTTAATCGCTGTTCGTTGTCATTCAGGAATATTCCAGAGGCAAAATTATTCTTGGAGAAAAATGACCACAATTTACTGATATCTAATTTCATAGACTTCATACCATGCAGGCAATTTCCTTTTCTTAAATCTAGACACAACCCCCTGCTATGTATATAGCGTTTACCATGCTGTTACGTTGCATAGACGGCTTGTTAGAAAGTGGTCACGTATTTATGTAACGAAAAATATTTTTAATATAAACACCAGTATTTTTGACGGACTTCTTTCTAAATTATGCTGAAGGTATAACCATGACACGTGCTTTTCCAAAGTACCACAAATGAAGTAAACTCTTCTAATAGATTGTAAAGAAAGTCTTCGAATAATTATTTTTGTCACAACATATTCTAATCTCTCATCTCCTCTGCCGGGGAACTATACTCTATAGCCTTCCTCACTCACCAGCTTCTCCAATTTCAATTTTTATTTGCACTTTTGAGAGATTCTTTTCACTTTTGAGAGATTCTTTTCAGTCTAAAGATATTTGGATACGAAACATTACATTTTCATTAGAAAAGCAATAAAACCAAAATAGTACATCTCTCCAAAGTGTAAATAAACACTGAATACCATGCTGGAAAAAAATGTCATTTGGACAAAATGTCAGTAAGAATTAATTTATTTTATTATTCAAGCAATATTAAGTGGTTCTAGAAGTGATTAATTAAAGACTTCTCCGTTGTTCAAGACAAATAAACATTTGTCCGAGGGCTGTTCAAATCATCCCATGACGTATACGAATTTACTCGAACTAGCTTCACTGTGACCTTGACTATTCTTTCATTTATAATTCACTAATTTTAATGGCCAAATCATTTATTGTCTAATACAATAAATAAAAAAATACAATTTGTATTTACTCCACTAAAACATTAATATTCCTTTTCAACATTGAAATTTAAGCTATAATATATGCGGTGGCATTACAACCACACCAAATTCTTTTTCTATCCTGATTGCAGTCCGAAATTTCGAGAAGTTTCTCCGAAATTTTCTCCGTACGTTCTAGTATTAGATTTCCGCATTTTTACCACACCTAACCAATTGTTTTACTTTGTTTACAGCGCCCAGCTCCTTAGAAGGAAACCTCGCAACATCAGGAGTATTTTCAGTCAGTGAACTTTACCGATATTCTCAAAGTAAGTTTGAAACCTCGATATAATGTGAAAGGCAAACCTCGCTTAACATTAGACTTGCAACAAGTCAGGGGGGGAAACGTTGGTATTACAACTGGAGGGGTGTTAGTTTCTTTTCCAGACAAGAAGGGCGTGGCTCAATTCCATCCTTCAATATTCCTAAAATGCCTGTCGACGGGGATGGCTCAGTGGAATATCATTCGTTGGCTACAATCATCCGGTTATTTTCAACATTTGCCCAACGAAATTGGGTTGATTTGCCCTAAAATATAATAAAACTGGAGGGGTGCACCCCCTCCACCAGGAGCGTATCTACCGTGTGGGAGCGACCTTAGATTAAGCCGACCAGTATCATCCATATTTGATTTCTCTATTAGTGAAGGCTGTGTCCCATCTTTGTGGAAGTGTGCCAATGTTTTGCCTTTGGGTAAAACTCCACAACCGCGATCTATTGAAACTGACCTCAGGCCCATTTCCTTAACAACCGTCCTTAGTAAAGTACTCGAAGGGTTTGTGTTCCATTGGTTAGCTGACATTATTATGCCTTACATCGACCCCTACCAATTCGGCAGCGTTAAGAAGACATCTACGACTCATGCCCTCGTTCACCTAGTTGGCTTATCATCATCTACTTGGTCGATTGTTCGCACTGGCGTGCCACAGGGAACTAAACTGGGTCCTTTATTTTTCTTGGTCATGGTCAACGACCTGTCCACCGAGCTCCCTAACTATCAACAGACATCCATTGGAAGCCGTACAATCAACTAAGCTATTCGGCGTAATACTATCATCAGACCTGAAGTGTGATAAACACATCGAATATATCTGCTCCAATGCCAGTAAGCGTCTATATGTCTTAAGATCTCTAAAACGAGCCGGTGTCCCCCCATGCGATCTTCAGCTTGTATTTTGTTACTTTGTTCGACCATTACTTGAGTATGCCTGCTCTGTCTGGCACTTCTCGTTGACAGCAAAACTAAGCGATAATATCGAGGACATACAACGTCGTGCGGTGAGAATAATCTACCCACACTTGACTGACAGAAGAGAGTCCCTATGCAGGTCGTTTTACAAAAACACTCGCGTCAGATGATAAACTAAAGAACTTAATCCCTGAACCTGTTGTTGAACATTACCATCTGAGGCGCCCTCGCAAACTTCCACTGTTCAAGTGTAGAACCAAACGTTTCAGTAACAGTTTTTTACCAACATGTGTCAGAAAGTGGGACAATTGTCCTTGATCTGATTCATTTTAAATATTATTAGGTAGCTAGTATTTTAATTAGAGTTTCAATATTTAACAATACTTGTAACTTGAGTTTGTCAATTTGTTATTGCTATAAATTAATAAACCATTACCACACCCCTTCTGTATTTTCGCCCCTGCTCCAAGTCTTCTTGCGTGGAGAAAATCCACATTATCATTGCTAAACCAGTAGGATCTTCTCTGCATATATTATTGATGATAAGATCTGGACAGGTTTTACCTCCTGATAGAGAAGTGAAATCTATTGTCGAAACCACAATACTTACAGTCACATACTCAAAAATCCATCTTCTAAACTAAACTACAGCTTAATATACATACTGAATTGCTCTATCATTTCTGCAAAATAATTCTCCCGACAGATCACGTAAAGACCATCCTAGGTGGTCATTTCATCCGGTATCAGTGTAAAACTAGATTACTACTCTTTAACAGGCGACTGCATGAGTGGAAATTTTAATCAGACAACTGCATATTGCAAAATTTAAACCTGGCCTCTCAAAGTTGAAAGGCATATGTACTAACTACTGTGTCACAAACATTCATTTGGACTAACATTAATTTCTGACAATAGCTTCCATCGTATCCGGCCATTCAGGAGCGAAATACTCAAGAGCAGACCTCGAAGGCGTAGGATACTGTTCATCTCGAAATTATGGACCATCAGTTGTGGAAAACTCGCCATATTTATTTGATCAACTGACAAGAAAACGAAGTCGTACGAACAGTTCATCGATGGATGACGACATGGAGGAGGACGAAGAAGGTGGTTTCCACGGCAATAATAACCGTTCACCTGGAAGTCAAGGCTCTTCAGGATGGGAAGTTGATCAAGGTAAAATACGAGGCAAGGAGTGGAAGCGTAATATTTCTATTTCAACATTCAATATTCCTACTCTTTCAATATTCCTAAAATATCAAATCCAAAAATTCATTCCAATTTTGTTTCAAATATTCATATTCCTAACCTATATATTCATATTCCTACCTCAAATAGTCATATTCCTGCCATAAATATTCAACTGATTCAAACTACTTTAAACCTAGTATAAACCTAGATACCGTAACGAACCATAGTGACAATTTACTAATGCACCGAATGAAAGTACTTCATGAGACAGCGGTTAGTTCAATAAGGCCGGAATTCAATTCGCGCTTAGTGAAAGTACGTCACCTTGGCTATAGAGTCTCGTTTCGTGATTGCGGCGCTTGGCTTCAACTAATCTCGCATACACGAAAACGAGGCTCTATAGCCAAGGTGACGTATTTTCCGGAAGTGTGTATTACTTTAATACGCAGTTTTCTGATTATAATCTTGCCTCAGTTCCATAAAACAACGTGCTTCTAGTTTCAATCTGCCAAACACCGCCAGTTTTGTCCTGGTAATCTGGTTTCTTCTTGTAATATTCATGCACACAATTTAAACCAAAACTTAGCACAACTATATTTCTTATATTTCTCTTGACAGCAAGTCCTTCTCATTATTCACAAACACCTCTGTTGAAACCGAAGACGGAGCCGCCATTCGGACTGGGATGTAGTTACGTCACTACAGGTGTGACTGGACCTCAGAAAATGGACACAGCAGCTATGATCAGAGTTGCTCAAAATGGACATCCGTGGCCTCCCTTATACGGGCATCATACTCACAATGCCTTAGCCAGATCTGCACCAGCTGTTTTGCAGAAAGGACCTGCATTTCCCCACAATGCAATGCTGGCTGAAATGTCTCATTTACAATTCCGTGTTCCGACAGGTAAATATAGTACACTATATTAATACACTGCCGGCTATATAGTGACTATTGTCAAAGTTTTAAATTTAAACGACCGATCCGAACCCCTAACCTTAACCTTTTGAGGGTTAGAAAAGGCGGGGAAAAAGTTTAAAAAATTTTAAGAAAAATAATGCTATAAAGTCAGACAAAACACAACCCGACCCAGACTGCGTTTCACTTTCCGCACGCAGCGCCTTTACCGTATGCGCTAACGGCAAGCTCAGTAAAAGCTAGCGCGAACAAAAGTTTTTATATTTAACTATCTCACTATATATATAGCCGGCAGTTTATATAGCCGGCTGTATTAGTCGCTTTGTATTAAATTCATATTTAATACAAGCCACAAGGTCAAGGAGATGTGTCGATTTTATTACTTTATGGAACGGTTTTTATTTCACAACGAGTAAATAATAAAAATTGAACAAACGAACCAATCGTGAAAGAAATATTTGACACTGTCGCTGACAACACACAAGGTCCACAAGTTGACAAGTGAAATATACGAAAAAAATAGATTTCTTACCGCTTATTTCTTCATTTTTTGCTGGAATTCGAATCGAAGATATTTATCTGAAGTAATTTCAGCCTTGATTGTTTTTCTGATGATAATATAGTCGCTTTATTAGCGGAAAATGCAATAAAAACTCTCACTTCTGACAGCGACTTCGCTAAAACCGGGCGCAATGTTTACACATAATATGAGCGGGAAAACACCACCAATCAAACGCTGAGACAATATTAAAATTCACCATGTGAGAAATTAAAATGCAACATGCTCTGGGTACGAGCTCGAGATTGATCAAAATGCTGAGAGTCTTGAGACGATAAATTTCACATGTGAAAAATATCGTCCGCCATGAAGATACGATTTTTATTTCACTCATCTACTGCACAGAAATATACTTATATAATAGGAAACATTACCCAATCCCTGACCGACGCCCATTCTATTTTACCATAAATAATAACTACAATTGTTTAAAATGGTAAAATATTTCTTAAGCACAAACACTTGGTAGAAGTTGCTCAGTACCAGATTCATCAAAGAATGGTTCAACTGCATTTCTAGAGAAGCTAACTGGAGTGAAACAAGATTGTTTATCTCCTCTGGTAGTGAGTAGATCATCTCCTGGTACAGCAAATGGTAATGTTTCTACACATCGTCCAACACCAAGTGATCTCCTCTGTAATAATACTGGAAATAACTTCAATGAAAGAACACAGGTATGCTGAGTAAGACGTAGTTTGCGGATGAATTAACATTTTTTCATGATTTGGTGTGATCAAGCCGAGAAAAATTCTTATAAATTGTTATGTAAAATGCAATTTTAATTTTCTTCCTGATGAAATGTCAAATTCCCCTAACGCAAGCAAAATACTAAAACGTTTCTGATTGGTCGCTGGAAAATCGGCTGATCGGAGCTTGCTTGACACGGCATTACGGCAATGAAATACGTGGATCTGCTCTTGAAAATCTCAAAATAATCAAAATTTTATTGGCATTTTGATAATTTAAGGCTTCATTGGTAAAAAAAGGAGCACACAGTTAAGGGTATTTAATATTTTGAATATATAAGCCGTGCGCACGCATTTCAGCCAATCTAAAACGCTCTTATATGACATTTATTATAATATATATGAAATGTTATCCTTTTGGTTTTTGTTGCCCCCCCCTGACAAAAACTCCTGGCTACGCCTCTGTTCTAGCCTCCTCCGCAGGCAAGCCTGTGGCTTCGGAAACGGCAAACTCAGTAAAAATGTCGGAAATTCAATGTTTTGGTTGGGTACGAGTGGACGGCAACGGACTAGGGGGGTCTTTTCGCATGAAACGCAGCCAAAAGTGAATTTCCAACGTTTTTAGTGTAAATTTGTCGGTTCAGAAGCGTAGGGTTCTTGCCGAGAAGGCTAGGAATTTTCAACAAATGATCATTTATCAAATACTAACTGGTTTATCTGTGTGTTGAATATTTACAATGGTGATTAGGTTCGTTTTCTTTGGTTTTGAGACAGCACTCTATTGTCAGTGATAAAGCTAGTGTAACTTAGTCTCCTCAAAATAAATGTTCCATTCAATTTAGGCACAGGACACCCAGTGCGCGCAGTATATCAATGTAACGTCAGCGAACAGTTTATCCAGCGGCGGTGTCAATCCAGCGGTAATAAACTCGTTGAGTGATAACAATGACGTTCTTTCATCTCAGTGCACTAACCTCAGAGCTGCGCAACTCCAACAACAGTGGTCCCAAGGTATCCACACCGTTCCTGTCAGTACCATGGCTGTGTCGTCAGATACCGCGGGGGCTGAGTACCAGTACTTCGTCAACCAAGCAGGTAAGACTGCTCATTACATTAGTTGATATTTTTTACACATGACCGTAGAATTCCCGAAGTAGCTACCGGACCTGGGAACAATGTTAAATGTCCTCGGATTCCGAATTATCCGTTTTCAAATGCTCGTCAAAAGTGCGAAAAAAACAATTCACTGTCTCTCAGATGTGCATAACAATAAAGTAAACCTAACAATATTCGTCTTACATATTGTTTGCACGTTTGATCCTTATGATCAAAATTGCGATAAAGTATGCGTGAGAAACGTTGCTGAGGCAAATGCCTCTAGAGAGGATTCCGAGACTCATTTTTCCTACGTTTGATGCTGGAAATGAGATACACGGTAACGTTTTCCTTTCGCTTATATATTGTATTTTTTTCTTTTCAGAAAGGTTGTTTGGTATAATTCCAAATGATGCTGTAGATGTTGCCGTTGACTCAACCAGAACGGCGACGTAGTTGTTCGACATAAACTGGATAGTTTCCGTTGTATCGCTGACACAAATGTATTGTGGGTAGCCATATTCAGGAAAGGGATCAACATCCGGTTTTTACTACGAGATGAACGTCATAAATGCATTCTTTTGGAGATCTCTAGAAAAGTAGAATACGTGAATTACGTGTTATTTTATGTTGTACAGTTCATGAGTAGGCCAAGTCAAGATAGCTTCAAACGAGGTTTTTGGCTGCAGATAATACAGTAGTGTAATAAAACAGCATAAATTCCTAGGATTCAGCTCAAAAGAATTTAATTTTTAAGAGGGGTACAGAGAGATCGTAAAAGGTTGTAAGATACAAGAGTGAACATGTACTTCATGTATGGTCATATTTCCGGCAGACATATTGCAATGCGTCTTCGAAAGAGGCGTCAGGAATTTATGTCTTCATTCGACTCCACTACTGTGAAGCTCTGCAAGTGCCAATTAAGCAATGTTAGCTTTATAATAACATACAAACACTCACAGAATACTTGCAATTTGAGTACCATGATCAGAGCTATAAAAGCCTAGAACTTGAAAGAAGCGTTTTTGAAGCCTTAGAACTTACCGATTATTCTCTTTTACCCAATAGCCGAATTCATATTAGAGACGGGAAACTCGTCTCAGACGGGAAACTCATCTAATATGAATCCAGGGGCAAGACGAGTTTCCCGTCCGAACTTTCCCGTCCGAACTTTCCCGTCTAACTTACCCGTCCAGAAAGACGGGAATCCCATCTAGACGGGAAACTCGTCTTAAATTCGAATTATCCGTCTCTAAATTCATATTCAGACGGGTTTTCACAGACGAGTTTCCCGTCTAAGACGAGTTTCCCGTCCCTAAAATGAATTCGGCTAATGGCCATTCGTGGACATTTACCCATCGTTTCCATGTTAACTTATTTTAGCATGTTAGGGGCAGATAAAGATTATATTCCCATATTTTCCTGGACGAATTTGTTTCTTGCTGTTCTTAGGCTCAATAACAAAGTAATTTTCAACCCTACTAAACACAAAACATGAGTAAGTTTTGACATGAAAACAAGGCCATTGTGTAAAAGAGAATAATCGGTAAGGTCTATAATTGAAAGAATTCGCATTGGAGCCCCCGTACATGTGAATATAAAAAGTTTGCAAACATGCACGAGTCACTTTAAAGATTACATGAAGAGTCACGTTTATTCTTGTTATTTTCATCATTTTAGAGTGTATTTAACTACAATGTAAATTTCGACTAACGTGTTCAGAGCCAAAGATATGAACTTAAGATAGCTTTAAAGTATTATGAAGTATTTAGTAAATATTGATAAAGTCCCATTCATTCTATTTTAAACCTGCCAAGCAGGAAATATAACGTACAAATATGCTGTTTAGTAGTGGTACTTACAAAGTATAAATTGTGATTTAGTAGGCAGTAGCTTATGGATTCATGGTAGTGTTGCAAAATCACTTGATGCATTTCTTCAACTTCATTTGCATAATGATAATTTATAGGGGTTGCGTGTCCACAACTATTTTATAACAGATCAATGACAACACACGACATAGTTATAGCACAAGCACCCACAGAAAAATTTCGTTCAAGTGATTTATATACTGTCTGCCAATTGATTCCAACAGATACCTAATGCTATAAAAATTATTGTATTCTACATTATTTTCTTTCTGTTATGACTTTGTGAGATAAAGATTAATATAATATTTAGTTTCTATTTACATCAACAGTAACTGATATTTTATGTAAATTCTAAATGAACTAACAAAAGTACTTGGTGTCAGCACCTGTACATGAGGTTGTAGGCAAACTGAATAGCGTTGTGGAATGGCTGTCGAGCGGCACAACAACGCTGAAACGTTACAAAGACGTTTCACTTAAATATTATTCAGTAATTTACAGTCACTGTAGTCTAAGCCCCAAGTTTGTTCTTTATGAATAAAGTAAATATTGAGAAATTGGTATTAATTATTTTTAGCATTTCCTGTTCAGTTTATTTTGCCTCTACTTTTTATTCTTTTTTTGTCACGCTATAGCCTCATCAACAGAAGTTGGTTTCATGGGTCTGTGTTATAGTTTATCACACCCCTGTAAAACAGGAAAGGTCATGTCAGGAAAACTAACTACAAAGGATACTAAATCCAAAACTAGTGGAAGTCACACAAGCAATTAAATAGATAATGCCAAAAGAACAGGAGGCAATGCAGCACTAGCTCTGTATCATAAGAAAACTGAACTTGAAGTTGAAAGTTTAGTTTCCGGTGAAAAATTATACCATAACAAAATTCGTTAATTGTGTCTAAAGCTCTCTTTAAATTAAGGAGGTCATATGACTCATATCCTTCCCAAGGGATTTTTGAAGATTTAAGGTACTTTAATTACTCACTTTGTCTTTAAGATTACATGTTTTTACAGTTTTCAATAAAATACATGAGAGAAAAGCTCTTGAAATAACATTTCATGAATTTCTCCCCTTAGCAACACGTTAGCAACGTGTTTTCACTCACATTTTTGCCTGAATATATTGCTGGATGTTATTTACGGCCTTCTCTCTCAGCTGCGTTTTGATTGGTGGAGCTATGGTAACCACTTGTCTTTGTCCTCTGTAATTTTACAACAACGGTAATTTTCTAGTATAATCCTTGTTATTCTGATGGTAGTCAGACTAAAAAATAGGAAATACTAGAAAGAGAAAAGTGGTGGAACACAACCATCGTCATCGAAAAAGGCAAAGATTTTCAAATATGGCGGACAGTATGACAAAAACCCTATGGTCTTGCAGTTTGAGAAAATCGTGATGATATTAGTGAGATGGCAAAGGCTATATCGCTTTATCATGTTTCATCAACTGCATGATTATGGAATCCTCAACATCATCTCTGCCCTGATGGAGAACACAGTTGTTGTGTTTATAAGAGAGATAGGCATACCAACATAAAAATAGAATTCCAGAGTGTATTCACTGTATTGTTAAACTTATTGAGCCAATATTTAACTAATTAACTTGTTGGGAAAATGCACTCATGGCTTGACGCAAAACGTCCACATATATGTTGAACAAGAAACTGTTGCTATTGCAACTTATGTAGCTATCCTAAACGATGGTGACATTTCCTGCATCAAACTTTTAAACGAGGAGAAAGTAAAAAAGAAGAGAAAAACACTCAGACACCTGAGAAAAAAAACAAAACTACTGTATACGGTAGATACTGCCAAAGACGCAGAAGGAGCATAGATATCTTATATACACTAGATAGTGCATCTAATTATACTGCAATTCAAAAATTGAAGCCGTGATTGCAGTCTCAGGTCGTTCCCATGAAATGAGAAGATTCGTATGTTTTCTATTTATTAAACAGGGAACTTAAACATTAAGTTATCCCTATTCCAAATACGTTTTTAAACTTTTCAAATGATGAAAGTTATTGTTGTTTTTAAGCGTTTATTAGCAGGTGGGAACGACCAACATGGCCGCCATCTATTCAAATGGGGGTAAGCGCTGGACTTTTCTTGGCTTCAATTTTACTAAAAGAGATGCGCTATCTAGTGTATATAAGATATCTATGAGAAGGAGTAACCTATGAAGCTGGTAGCTTCTAAAGCTTTTAGAGATACAAAAAACATTAACTAAAAATTTGAATGTAATTCTCTGGTTTTGATGATATAACCACAACGGGAAATCGTTGTGACACCACAGCTTCTGTAATACTTGTGGCAACCTCCATTCCCAGGGTTTTCCCCTCGACGTCAGGGTTGGGCAAAATCAACGTATAAGAACGTTGCAAAAGCATATTCTTAGATATACAAATAACAGCAAATCATTATACGATTTGTTATGCAAATAACTAATGAATATAAACTAAACACTGTTCCAGAACACCGTGTGCACTCCATTTCATATCGTTCCAGAACAGTGTTCCAAATGTTCTGGAACAGTAAATGGAGCAGCCTCAAGACTCCTCCGTGCGTGCGGTACAACTTGAATATTTAGGACGATACATGCACCACTTACTGCCACCACCCACTGGTATTCTGCTTTATAGTAAAATACTCATATTTTATGTGTTGCAGTAATTTATAGCAGGCACATTATAAATGTTATACAATTAATTAAAGATCTTTCATTAGCATTGCTATTATTGCCTATTGGGCAAGAAGAACAATCCAGTTTAAAATCCAGCTAATAGAAAAATACTTTCTACTAATTATAAACTTAAATACCTTAATACCTAATGAGCCGTCCAGGTTTGGCTAACCGCTAACGCGCGAGTCTGAAGAGAGATTTTGTAAAACTTTAATTTATTAACTTCAGCTATATTTTACTTTAAACAATAACTTCAACTCTTTGTAGCTGCTATAACCAGTGGCGTAGCCAAACCTTAACTTTTTTTGGGGAGGGCGAACCTCACGCCGAAGGCTTGAGACCATCTAGGAAGGTCCGGGGGCATGCACCCCCGGGAAAATTTTGAAATCTAGGTTCCCTGAATTGCGATTTCAAGCATTTTGAAGGTGAAATCTAGCAGAATTCCGAAGATTATAAAATACATCGAAGACATGAATTTTCAGACATTTCTACTCGGAATTAAATAAATTGGAAAAGTCACCTTGAATACAAGATGGCTGTGGAGGAGGCTATGGAAGGGCATAATCTCATTATCAAGTAAATCAACTGCAATGCTGACAGCAATCATGAGCAATTCTGCTTCGCACTTCGGGGGCAGAAATGGCTTTACTGGGGGGGGATTCTTTCTCTAGGGGGGGGGGGCAATTGCCCACCAGATATATAGTTAAAGGCACTGGGGCGAGGATAAATGGCTATATAATTATGTAGGAGCTCCTGTGCAATCGTTTGGCTTCAACATACAGGTATTCGTGCAGACAAAAAAGGAAAAGCATAGAGTTGTGAAATTGTGTTTTGTTTTATAATTCTGTACTGACGATCCCAAACAATTATTGTACATTTGTACGTTAACACTCCATCCTACGTGGTGTTTAATATAAACGATGATAACCTAGCTATTTTTAAAAAAAACTATGACCTAGAAACAGTTTTAGAATCAATAGAATATCGACATTCAATATCTATTTGGCTAGTGTCCACGTTTTGACCAATGCAAAATTTATACCATTTCCAAATGGCAACAATTCAATGGCATATTATAAAAAAATATTTTAAATATTGAAAATAGTGAAATGAAACTGCACCAGAGAATATAAGAGCAATTTCAAAGCATACGATGATCATACCTTGATTTTTTATACCTAGTTTTTATACCTTGATTTCCTGACTTGTCTGTTGCTATAAAAATCCGCAGTTTAGTATGTCCTTATAATTTAAAAGCAAACAGAAACCAAGTTTAGCAAGTATTTTGAAATGTATATGATTCTCAAAAATGATTGTACAAAACGGTCATTCAAAGATGATTGGACGTACAGAACGCTTGCAATCGAAGTGTTCTTAATTTAATTAAATGGTCTTAGGCAATCAATTTTCTATGGGTCACGTGATCAGCTCCGACCACAGACGGCCCAATCTCTGAATCATGGGCGCACCGGGTGGGGGGGGGGAGGGGCGGAAGGGGCGGCAGCCCCCCAGTTTGTTGGGCAAACAAAGCCAGTCGGGCAATATTCGCTTCACAGTCGGGCAATATTGGCTTATTATAAAAATAAATGGGACAAATTCTGTCAATTTTGTTGGAAATTCTGTCAATTTTGTGGGAAATTAAATATGCTATCTAACAGGAATTTTTCGTAATCACTCCTCCCCCCCCCCCGTACGCCCATGCTCTGAATGTTAGTATATGTATAAAATATATCTAACTCAGTGTTAAATAGGATGCATTTGTTGTGTTTCTGAGTTTAGTTGATGCGATTGCTTTACGTTTTCGTCGTACTTGAACGGTCGTCAGTGACTGGCACTGAACTACATAGCTATAGGATAAGACGGACTTGAATGATGTGGTTTCTTTGCACCATTTGCACTTCACTTGGTGGAATTAATATTAGAATGTTAGGGTTTGTAATCCAAGTGATTATATACATTTTAAGACCTGACCAGGAACGACTGCGAAAAATGCAGCACAAGGTCCTCTGGTAGGAATTGTAAACGTAAAGCAATCGTATCAACTAAACTCAGAAACACAACAAATGCATCCTATTGACAAGTTAGATATATTTTTTACATTTAACAAATATATAGAACATTTTCCGTGTTGATATACAGTTATATCAACACGAGTGGAAATTGGGAAAACGAGAAATTGTGTGGAAACACGACGCCCAAAAGGCGGAGTGTTTTCACACAATTTCGAGTTTTCCCAATTTCCACGAGTGTTGATATAACTGTATATCAATACGGAAAAATGTTTTATATTTGTTTTATAATATAGCACAAAGAAACATAAAGAAAGAAATTTTCCGACGTTTCCGTGTTGACATTGAGTTATGTCAACACGGCTCTTAGCCAATCAGCGTTCAGAATTTACAAATGCTATAGTATAAATACTGCTATATTTTTGAATTATTTCGTTATTAAATATTATAACGGTTAAATACTGCGTATAAATATTCAAAATATATAGAACATTCAGAGATTGGGTCGCCTGTGCCCCTACCAGGGTTTTTCCTCCACAAGAGGGAAAAGCCTGGGAACGAGGTTGTACTTTTGGTAGAAAGCTGACATTTTGCATGCTTAAGGCTACTTACTGACATTATCTAGTGCCTGACACTCAACTCACTTTATCTAGTGCCTGACATTTCAATATATTTCTTTAATGACGAATAATTGAGATTTAATGCCTTAATTAACATCGAATTTGCATGTAATATTCAAATTTGCTCTGATATTTTCTTTAAAAAGACTTTAGAGCAAAAAGTGTCATATAAGCTTTCTAAATATAAGTTACTTATTTTATTCTGTTTATCATGTTTACCGTGAACCCAATTTTCGCTAATTGCATGCCGCCATATTTGCATAAGCAATGAGTAATTAAACAAATTATACGATATGATTTCTACTAGTTTGTCCTTCCCAAAAATGGTTATGCTATGTCGCAGTCGTTAAAAATTAGGATAATTTAGGACCGCTATTGGGAGGTCATAGGTTACTATGGAAACATTTCTCCTAACAAAAAATGCTTTCAAATTTGTAGAGGTGTAGTCACTATAAAGCATATCGTCTGCATGTCTCTAAAAAAATACAGACGGGCGAACCTGGCTACAATTCATGCATAATGCCTGTTTCAAAATTGCTGTTCTTTTGTTTGTCAGGTATCAGCTAATATTTTTTTTCCATTCAGAAAGTCGGGAGTTTTGAAAATTTGGGATTCGTTGGGTCCATGCCACTGGGAAAAAATATGAAATCCATACTATGAAATTTGCAATTGTACCACTAAATCCATATTATATCGATACTATTTCCATACTATATCCATACTATGGAAATATACAATTATTATGGATAATCAAAATCCATTCTATTTCCAATAAAGGTCCATACAAATATGGATTTTGAAAATTTTTCCAGTGTGCTCTTTTGATGCTAGATGTCAGTTAAAAGATTCTTGGCCAGAAAATATTTCTCAATAGAATTCCTCAGGCGGTTCTTATGTCCTGACTTCTTCACCACCTATCTTCCAGTGTGTAGATCTTCTCCGCTCGCTTGAACTTGCGAGGAACATTAATTCAGTGTCAGAATCTTCGTTTTCTTCATTTTTCAGATCAATATGCCGTTCTCTAATTGCATGGCTGGTCGTAAGGGAGACAAGTACTAAGTCATCTGCGACGTCCTATGCCTCTGGTCTGGTGGGGTATTCTGCTGTTTGATACACGAGTCAATCGTTTGCAAGGTTAAATGGAAGCGCCGACGCCACACAAACTTGCCAGTCACCTTTGTAATCGATTCAAAGCTCTTCAAGAATAGAGCTGTCAGAGCTGCCACTCCTTACACTATTCAATAATGCTATACTGCTTCTGGTATACGCTGAATACTAACCGTTGGCAAGATTTTGCGAAGCTTGAGATTAATAAAAGGGTGCAGATTCCTCATCAGTTCTTTAGCCTTGGGTGCATGCCTTCATAAATCATAATGTGTTGTTCTTCTGACTATATACAGTAGTTTGAGCGATCAATTTTTGCGAATACAGATAATTTCTTCTTTTGTTGATGTTTCAACAATAACATCGACTATCGAGGCTAGTAACCTTTATCAACCTCTGCTTCGTGTATGTCAGATTATGCCGGTTATTGACTGTGATTTATTCAATATTTCGTTGAAGTGCTTTGCGCATCGACCTCTTTGTTAAAAGTCTTGCTGCTTGTCTTTGATCGGTGCGTCAATTGTTCGACCATGCGTACACCACACTGTCCACACACCTTGCCTTGCTTTGCTCTTCTTTTTTGGTTGGTGGCACCTGAATCGTCCGTCTTCTAGATTCTCTCTTCACTACTCGATTTGAAACTTTGTATACCAGTTTGTACATGTCTTTCCGTTTGTTAATTCTTGCTTCCATGACTTGCTCTTCTATGATGATTTGCTTTATCAGGGTTCTCGATGGATTGCCATGTATCTGCTGTTATCCAGTCATTTTCTTTCCTTGATTCCCAGCTTCGACCTTCGCGTTTCACTCGTCCGAGTTGAAATCCCACTCCGGACTGTGTATGGTGACGGTGCAGATTTTCTAGTATGTGAAATATATATGCTCTTCAGTTGAAGAATGCACAATATAGACAGAAATAATACTTGAGGGATTACAAGATCGCACCTTGTTTTTGTCACACTCTCTTCGTGATATCAAGTAGTTACTGATACGTTTTGTCCATTTGTTTTTTTTTTCTCCAGCTCTTCATCGCTTTTCTCTATGGAGGTACCAAAAATATGGACATCTCTGTGTGGGAAGTGTCCTTCCAATATCACTAATGACAATATTGTACGATCCGGTCATTTTCATTCACGGTACTACATGGTTTGTCCTTCTATGAAACCTTTGCATTCATCTCCCTCACATAACTATCACATATCACACGCCCCTCGTGGAAATCAGCTGTAGTTGACGAGGTTAGCGTGGTTAAATCTATCTATCTATCTATCTATCTATCTATCTATCTATCCATCTATCTATCTATCTATCTATCTATCTATCTATCTATCTATCTATCTATCTATCTATCTATCTATCTATCTATCTATCTGTCTATCTATCTATCTATCTATCTATAACAATCTTGAATCTTCAGATAATGCCTTTTTATGTGCTTTAATTTGTGTTTTATAATTGCATGTCTTTTGGCTTCGTGATCACTCTGACTGGTTAGACCATGACACTAAATGATAGCAGTGTTAACAGTAGGGTAACCAGGGTAGGGGGTTGTTTGCGTTTGCGTTTGCGTTTGCTTAGCGATTGTGCCTTGCAATTGGACGTTCACCTTGTAATCTATAATTTTTATGTCCAATATGGCAATAAAGCTGATAAAATAAAATTAAAATAAAGTAGTATCTCCTCTCAATTAAGGCTGCATTCCAGTTACGCGAATTCAACTTTTACGTGCGTGTACGCACGTATGAAAAACGCGTAACTGGAAATCAGCCTTTAGTCTGCTGCTTCAGATACGTAACTTACGTACAGCCTACAGGTTCCCACTCCGTGAAGCTTTTTGGCTTATAGCTTTCACTACGTTGGTTATTATCGTTTTCGGAATATAACACTGTTTCTCCTGTTTTCGTCAGGAGTTGTTCTGATACTGTAGGCTTTCACTTAATAATATTCCAAGGATGTGTATTGTGTAGTAACAAACTGTGCGAGTCTCATGCACATGTGATAGTTATAGCCCTGTGTCCAAGCAAGCAGTGTGCAAATGTGTCCAAGGCCAGTACTAGCATGGCCATACCAGAAGATGACTCGCTCCTGGCATAGAATAAAGATCCATATAGAAGGGCCACTCAGGGGTGCAACGTGTCCTCGTTTTTTTATGCAAAAATATGCAGTTTACTGGCCAGAAGGCGGAGCAGCCAGCCAGTACAGCGTGTTTATTGGCCAGAAAATGTCATTGACTGGCTAGGAAAATGGCGGCCAACATGCGTAATGCGACATGCGCGAGGACAGAAACTTCAAAGCTTCCGACGTAAGTGGTCCTTCTATATGGATCTTTATTCTATGCTCCTGGTATGACTCTGACTTCTCTGAGCCATACAAGCTTCCCGACCACAATAATCATTAATCAGTACTCGATCCTTCTGTAAATCGAGTAATAAATTGCAAAAAGCTAGCCTGTAACAGTGTTGTTGAAAACAGGCCTGAACAATATTTTGCTGCCCATATTGTTCCTGGTTAGTGGTTGTTAACAATATTGTTCAATGTTCAGCATTGCCATTGTTCATGAGAACAATGCTGAACAATATTGTTAACAACCAGGAACAATAGACCTTTCCCCATATAAATAAAATGTTGATCTAGACAAGTCTGAACAAAAATTTCATCACAGCTAGAAAGAGCATCACAAAATTAGTCAGGCCCGGTTTAGACGGCGAACTTTTCATGCACCGAATCTAATGCAAGGATTAAGTGCGACGCTGGAGCGGCGTCTAAATCAATTAAGTTCGGCAGGTTTTGATTAAGTTCGACACGACTCGAAGATGCGACAGGACAAGTCGTTTACCGTAAACTTCCGAATATAAGCCCTGGGCTTATATAATTTCATAAGCCTTTTTTTGATGGGCTTATACATGGGGGGGGGGGGGTATATACGGGGGGCTTATACACGGACCACATCTTAGGTTAATAGTAAGAAAACACGTACTATATTTACGGACCGAAACTGCACAAAAAATATGCCCGTGACTCCTTGAGGCAAAATTGGGACGAACTGTCAAGTGTTTTGTAATCCTTTATAACCTTTGTTTAAATAAATACATACCGTAGACGTAGTCTTAGTTGAAATTTAATGCAATGTAGTGGATTTTTTTGTGTAATTTACCGGTATTATACTGTGATGGGCTTATATACGGGTGGGCTTATGTAGGGGTGGGCTTATATTCGGGGGGGGGGCTTATATACGGAATGGTGTGAACGTTAGTAATTTGATGGGCTTATAGACGGGGGGGGGGGCTTATATTCGGAAGTTTACGGTGTGCGACACAGGTTCGACATTGATTTAGACGCCGTGCTTTTCATTCGCCGAACCTAATGCATAATTATTTTTTAACATCATAATATGATTATCATATATTTGCATTGTAAATATTTCCAATATAGGTCCTCGCAATTTTGTACGGTGCAATTAAGTTCTACGTCTAAATCAGTTTCCGATATTTTGCCGTATCTACGACAATTAGATTCGGCGCATGAAAAGTTCGCCGTCTAAACCGGGCCTCAGATATTCCGAGGTTTCGTTGCAAAATGTTGTCAGTAAAATGAGGATAATATAGCCTTGCGAAGTTTGCTGTTTTTCAGTAATTTTGCATTACAAACGCAGATATGTGAACTCACCCGCATTGAGTGGGTGACACCCGCATTTTGGAATCATCACACGCGGAAAAATTGGCACATAAAATCACCCGCATTAGCAAATTTTATAGCAATTCACCCGCATTCTGTGATTCTGTCTTCTGATTTTTGATTCGTTGTTCTGTTTTTGGTTGGTAGAGTGTATGCATGCGCACATCTACTTAGTACTTCAACTAGACTTAACTCTTAAGACGTTTGTATACATCTGTTTTGTCATAAACAAGAATATAAATATCTATGGAAGTTAGAAATATGGGGCTTAGCAAGGCTTTTATAAATCACCAATCAATTTTCTCAACAACAAAAAATGACGTCATGTCAAAAATTATATATCACCCGCATTTTTGTTACTTAGGGTTCACATCTCTGCAAAGTGCAAACGGGAAATTGATAATCAGTTTGATCATCTGATCTATCATCTGGTCGGGTATCTATTCTGTGATGCAAGCCCCTGTGCCTCTGCGGTTTGGAAAAAGTTATTTCGCTGGCCTCAAAGTGACAAAACGTAACAAAGCACCGGTTATACTCACACTAACCCTACTCCAAACACCAACTCTAACCCCAACTATAATCATTACCCTAACACTAACCCTAAATCTGACCCTAAATTTGTTTCTAAACCAAACTTGAAGAAAAAAGTTTTGACGAAATGTCATTCTGAGGCAGGGCCGCCGAGAGCTTGGCGGGGGCCCGGGGCAAATTTTTGTTAGGGGCCCCTATATTTAAAAATTTTTTCGGAGAAAATTTTTTCTGACCCCGTCGACACTTTTTAGTACGTTGCAATTGCTTACCAGCGACTTTACCTCAATTTTTCATACCAAATTTCGGTACTTTGCCAAAAAAACAAATATCTTGCCCTTTGCGCGGAAATATTTCACCCAAAAAAATGACAGGGGCCCAACAAAAAATTTCTAGGGGCCCCAAGAACCTGGGGGCCCTGGGCAATTTGTCCCGGCGGCCCTGTTCTGAGGTCAGAGAAATAGTGGATGCCCACCATAGAAATATTAGACCTAGAATGCGTGCTTGGTCACGTGACCGGTGTCCAAACTGAAAACAAAAATGCCCTTATAAATCCGCCATGTTGAATTTGAGTAGGAGTGCAAACTACAAAGTATAAACAAAACTAAAACTATAAAGTTTTCATCGTCAAAACGTTTGGTATTTGTAGTTTGGGGATAGAATTTGAAATATTAAGTTCTTTAAAGGCTCAAAGCAAATGTGCCGTTACAAAAACGGTGAAAATCGTGCGGCCTTGTATAAAAAACAAGTAGTTTTTCGTGTAGTTTCGCGTATAAAATATAACTTACTCATAAAACATTTTTGCAAGCTCTGAACGTAACTGTTTTGCTAATACTTTATAAAATTACGAGATGATAGTTCATTCTTCGTCGGGTTTTGTTTTTCTTCAATCTAAACGAAGTGTTTTCATGTTTTTGAAACAAAAATATTTAGTTGTTGATATTTAAAACTGTAAATCGCCTAAATGATCGTCGAAAACATATGGTTTCAAAAGCGTTGCCTCAAGCTCAAGCAACGTATAAAAAGTATAAAAAGTAGTTGTGTAAGTTTAAAAAGATTATTGAACTCTATTTATATTATAAAACAGTTGAAATATATTTTTTAAAACATACCTCTTGAGTTTCAGTTTGTCTTGATTGTTCGTGTTTTGTTTTGGCTTGCACAACAACGTTGAAAATGTATTTTGAAACGACGATTTCTCTATATATTCTGTTCAGAACTATTGCTCTTCGTAAAAAACCCCACGGGAATGGGTTTTTCTCCATTAAAAACACTTTTTTTCCACTTCAAGTCTGGATAGAATTGTTTTTGCAAACTTTATTGAAAAAAACAATTCGCACTCCCGGCACCGCGCGAAATTCCACGCCACAGGAGTCTGGGACTAGCCAAAATCATAGATATAGGCCAAAATGCCCTTATAAATCCGCCATTTTGTGGAGACAAAATTTTTACTGAGAAGAGATAGGAGCACGCATTCTATGTCTATTATTTCTATGATGCCCACTGAGCTATAAGTTGATGTGGTGTCATGGCAGTCATGCCGGAAGCACAGAAGAAGGTACACAGAAGGCCGACTTCTTTGTTTTTCCTATGATTTTGCTATGATTTTGGCGTAACCCGTAATTCGCCATCAAATGCTGACGCCATGGTCCTAGCCAGTGCGCGTTTGAGAGGCATTCGCCCCCCTGATATTATTAAAAATGGCGGATGTCCAGGGGGGGAATGCCTCTCAAACCCGCACTGGCTAGGACCATGGCGTCAGCATTTTGATGATGAATCATGGCGTGGCAGCGGTTACTCGAGTCGACCTTCTGTGTACCTTATTCTGTGCCGGAAGTCATGCATATAAATATTGTATCATCACTATGCAGAGGCAGCAGAGCAAAGACCGATATGTATGAATCATTGATTAGTCGTGAAATAGTTCGTATGTGTCTACAATCATGCATCAGGACGTTAACTCAAACTCTAGAGGATCTTTATTACCCAAAATGGAAGTAGAAACGGATTCCGATGTTCCTGAATTCTCTTTACCTCCCAAAAGCATCGTAAAACGACCCAAGAAAACGATTAGAAAGAGGTTTATATATCACAGCTGTTTAAATCACAATTTCGATGAATATACGTCGGAATATACTCTGCTTTTGTCTTAAATTACATCAATATTTGAAGGCAATGATGACAATTTATTTATGTTTTCAGAACTCGCTCAAGATGGAGAAAATATTGTAAAACGTGTTGTCGTTATTGTAGTGGTGTTCTACTGGCTCTAGTGTTGTGTGCGTGTGTATTGAGTATTGCGTTGTTGTTTTGGTTTTCTCTCAGATTGTACAGAGATGTTGAGAATCTAAATCGCCGACTTACTATTGAGATAAATCGTGGTATGTATAGTAGAGAATGAAAACTGTAACACATAGCAACATAGTATAATATATAGATTGTAATATTAGGTAGTTTTCGTTTAGTATTGTGTAATAATATCATGCTATGTTTTCGGTAGTTTATATTTTAAATGGATGTGGACAATTGTATGCATCACTTGATGCGTTGCTCAGCTGTTGTGTTTGACCACTGATGCAGATATATCAAAGTGATAAAGAGATTACCTTGGGTATCAGACCTCAATCACAGTTTGAT